ATGTGTTGTTTCATTTGTTTGTTTGCTACTGGGCATTCACTGTGAGATTTTAGGATTCTCAGTCTATGAAGAGATGGCTTAGTGTGGCAAAAGCCTTTGAGACCCAATCAGGAAGGCTGTGGTTTCAGTTAGAGAAGATGAATTCACAGCTAGTAGTGAATATTTAAGCCCTGGTTTTGGAGTAAATGAACATAAGCAAATACATTTGACTTTCCTTTTAGTTTTGTCTCACAAAGTTAATTTTCTGATGTTGAATTTTTATTGATGGTCTCTTTTCTGCTCTATAGTTACTATATCAGGAAAAGAAGTGCTCTGAAAGCCAGACAGAAGAGGAAAATACTCCAAAGGAAGTTGGGCTATTAGTCTCCTGAGACACCCAGTGTATAAACTTCTTTGGCTTATGAAAGACGCATCAGCCACACCTCCATTCAGGATCAAGTCTAGCCTGTTTCTGAGACTTAGTGTCATAGGCAGCAAGTAATAATTCCACAGTGGAGAGACATGTTTCAATGGAGATGCTAAGATATAAGCACGGATTAGTTCAACTAAAGGGTGGTGTCATAGTCAGGGGTTTGGGTGTCTTGAACACGGGACCCAAGTTTGTAGGCCAGGTCTACTGGGGGCTGGTGGAACTGGTCTGCGCAGTTTTGGTAGGAGGCTTGCCAGACTGGTCAAGGAGGCTTTAAACTAAATGTGTTGGGGGAGGGGGCATCATTCCATCCTAACACTCCCAGTCAGTTGCCAGCACCTATAATAAATGCTCGGAGCAATGTAGAGCTATCCCAGCCGCTCCAGCCAATGAGCCAGCTTCAGTTGGAGCTCGGCTCAGATGCCTCTATACAAATGCCTGTATATGGGGAACAAACAAGAGGAATTAGAGATGTGTGCACGTCTACGGGGGTATGATATAATAGGCATCACAGAAACATGGTGGGGTGACTCCTATGACTGGAGTGTTGGGATGGAAGGTTACAGGCTCTTTAGAAAAGACAGGCCTGACAGACGGGGAAGGGGAGTTGCCCTTTATGTTAGGGATAGTCTGGAGAGTATGGAACTCTGTCTGGGGACAGGTGAGCAGATAACAGAGAGTTTGTGGGTCAGGGTTAAAGGGAGAACAGCGATGGGAGACATTACTGTGGGGAACTGTTACAGACCGCCTGATCAAGGAGAACCTGCGGATGAAGCACTGTATAGACAGGTAGGAAAAGCCTCACACTCACAGGCCCTTCTTCTCATGGGTGACTTCAACCACCCTGACATCTGTTGGAAGGACGGTACAGCCCGGCACAAGCAATCCAGGAGGTTCCTCGATTGTGTGGAATCCAACTTCCTTCTGCAAGTAATAGAGGAGCCGACAAGGAGAGGTGCCGTGCTTGACCTTGTGCTCACCAACAGGGAAGGGCTCGTTGGAAATGTGACGCTCCAGGGCAGCCTTGGATGCAGCGATCACGAGATGGTCGAATTCGAGATCCTCAGGACAGTGAGAAGAGCGTGCAGCAAGCTCACTGCCCTGGACTTCAAAAGAGCAGACTTTGGCCTCCTCAGGAACCTGCTTAGTAAGCTTCCATGGGATAGAGCCCTAGAGGGCAGGGGGGCCCAAGACTGTTGGTTGATATTCAAGGATCACCTGCTACAAGCTCAGGAGTAGACTAGAAGGAAGTGCAGCAGGAGGGCCAGGAGACCTCCTTGGATGGATAAGGAGCTGCTGAGGAAAATTCAAGGGACAAAAAGAGGCTTATAAAAGGTGGAAGCAAAGACAGGTGGCCCGGGAAGAGTACAGGGATGTTGTCCGGGAAGCTAGGGACCAGGTTAGGAAAGCTAAGGCCCAGTTAGAATTAAACTTGGCTAGGGATGTTAAGGTTAACAGGAAGGAATTCTACAGGTACATAGCAAATAAAAGACAGACTAGGGAAAACGTAGGCCCCCTCAGGAAGCTCTCGGGAGAACTGGCTACACAGGATTTGGAGAAGGCTGAGGTTCTGAATGACTTCTTTGCCTCGGTCTTCACTGCCAAAGGCTCTGACCGCACCACCCCCGTCTTGGAAGGCAGACACAGGGACTGTGAGAATGAAGACCTTGTGCCCACTGTAGGAGAGGAACTTGTTCAGACCATCTTAAAAATCTGAACGTGCACAAGTCCATGGGACCTGAATCAATCCGTCCGTGGGTCCTGAAGGAGCTGGCAAATGAAGTTGCAAAGCTACTGGCCATCATATTTGAAAAGTCATGGCAGTCAGGTGAAGTTCCCAATGACTGGAAAAAGGGAAATATAACCCCCATTTTCAAGAAGGGGAAAATGGATGACCCGGGGAATTACAGACCAGTCAGTCTCACCTCTGTGCCTGGCAAAATCTTGGAGCAGGTTCTCCTGGAAGGCATGCTAAGGCACATGAAAAACAAGAAGGTGCTTGGTGACAGCCAGCATGGCTTCACTAAGGGGAAATCCTGACTGACCAATTTGGTGGCCTTCTATGATGGGGCTACGGAACTGATGGACAGGGGTAGAGCAGTTGATGTCATCTATCTGGACTTAAGCAAAGCATTTGACACTGTCCCACACAACATCCTTGTCCCTAAATTGGAGAGACATCAATCTGATGGATGGACCACTCTGTGGATAAAGAACTGGCTGGATGGCCGCACACAGAGAGTTGTGGTCAATGGCTCAATGTTCGGCTGGAGACCAGCAATGAGTGGTGTCCCTCAGGGATCGGTGTTGGGACCGGTCTTGTTCAACATCTTTGTCGCTGACATGGACAGTGGGATTGAGTGCGCCCTCAGCAAGTTTGCTGATGACACCAAGCTGTGTGGTTTGGTTGATACCCTGGAGGGAAGGAATGCCATCCAGAGGGACCTTCACACACTTGTGAGGTGGGCTGATGCCAACCTCATGAAGTTTAACCATGGCAAGTGCAAGGTCCTACAGCTGGGTCGGAGCAATCCCAGGCACAGCTACAGGTTGGGCAGAGAAGAGATTCAGAGCAGCCCTCCAGAGAAGTGGGTGTTGGTTGATGAGAAAATGAACATGAGCCGGCAGTGTGCACTCGCAGCCCAGAAAGCCAGCCGTATCCTGGGATGCATCAAAAGGAGCGTGACCAGCAGGTCGAAGGAGGTGATCCTGCCCCTCTACTCTGCTCTCATGTGACCTCACCTGGAGTATTGTGTGCAGTTCTGGTGTCCTCAACATAAAAAGGACATGGAACTGTTGGAACAAGTCCAGAGAAGGGCCACGAGGATGATCAGGGGACTGGAGCACCTCCTGTATGAAGACAGGCTGAGGAGGCTGGGGCTGTTCAGCCTGGAGAAGAGAAGGCTGCGTGGAGACCTCATAGCAGCCTTCCAGTATCTGAAGGGGGCCTATAGGGATGCTGGAGAGGGACTCTTCATTAGAGACTGTAGTGACAAGACAAGGGGTAACGGGTTAAAACTTAAACAGGGGAAGTTTAGATTGGATATAAGAAAGAAGTTCTTTCCTGTTAGGGTGGTGAGGCACTGGAATGGGTTGCCCAGGGAGGTTGTGAATGCTCCATCCCCAGCAGAGTTCAAGACCAGGTTGGACAAAGCCTTGGGTGATATGGTTTAGCGTGAGGTGTCCCTGCCCATGGCAGGGGGGTTGGAACTAGATGATCTTAAGGTCCTTTCCAACCCTAACCATTCTATGATTCTATGATTCTGTAACTGAGCTTTTCTTGGCAGAGGCCTTAGAAGGTGTAAAGTGGCTCAGCAAAACCCATGGGAATGTATCTGCTTTTTGAGGTATTTATTCCTCTGACCTTACAAATAATTAATTAATTGCTGGGTTTCATCCTTTTAATCACTGTGATACTAATGTTTATTCCAGAAGTAACCAGAAGTGCAATGCTGTAGTTTCATGATTAGAAACTTTTGACTGGATTTTTAGTTACTGTTTTCTTAGGAAAATTCATCTTTGTGCCTAATACATACTTTGGAGTATAACAATTACAGACTTTCAGAAGATTTTTACTTTTCTTTGAAGGAAAAGAAAATGGGTTTCACAGTTCCTCCCATGAAAGTGATAAAATAATTCCTGCTTCATACCAAAAAAATGTTTGCAGTATGTGCAATACTTGCACTGTTTCCCTTCCAAGTAATTCTGGTCTTTTGTTAGAACTTAGGGAAAAGGCTATTGGTACGTTTTTTTTTTTTTTCAGCAAGATTTTGTTTATTTCAGGTGAGGCTCAAGCTTACTTGTGGATGACATATAGGTTAAAATTCAGATACTGTTTCTGAGTGAAATATAAATTACGTAATGAAAAATGGTTATTTTCCTTTGGCTTCAAAGTTGATTGCTTGCCATTTAAATTTTTGAAGATTCAGTCAAACTTTATTGAAAAGTATATTTTGGAAAAGATGGAGAACAAGAAATAAGATGGAGAACAAGAAATACAAAACCACTAGGAACACCAGGTCAGTTTATTGATGGGAATTCTGCACTACTCTGTGAGATGTGGTTAACAATATCTGGCTCTTGTCTATTTCCTGCTTATAGGAGCCTGAAGTCTGTGGAATGGCAGTCATTTTGATGTCTGTTTCGTAGTAGAGTTGCACTTGTTAGTGGGAGGAATGTGAAGGGTTGGCTGAGAAAACAAACCTCTGTGAGAATTTGAGCCAGTGAAGGATGGAAGTCTGAAAAACCAGCTTCCCTGTATTTCAAGCCTGTGTTCAGTGAAAGAACAGTCAGCACAGTGAGCCACAGTGAAAGAGGATTTACTGGGGTTTAATCTTGTTTGAAACTGCATTTTGGAAAGTTCTCCATGCATTGAAGCTCGCATTAAGGTTTCTCTTTGTGTACAAAAACTAAGCATATAACCCACTTATTTATGATAATTTGTTGAATATGTTTTTCCTAACAGGGAATCCTCAGGTTTATCAGGTCTGTTTGAGATTCAGGATCAGAAACAGCTAGGGATTTTTACTTTTTAAATGGGTCTCTGATTGATTTTCCATCACAATTGCATTGGTACTGTCACATTGCCTACCTTTAAGGGACACATTCAAGAACTCCTTGGACGAATTCTATACCCCTTATGGGATATGCCGAATTAGCTGTTGCTTTCTGCAACTTGTGTTTGCCAAGCACACTGTCTTCCTGTTGTCCTGTAGACTACTGTGAGTTTTTAATGCAACTTCTCGAGAATTAGATTTATCTTCTGTCAATATGCTGCTTCTTCTGGGCTTGATACTATGACTCTGAAGACAATGAGAGTACTGATGGCAGTTTCAACGGGAGCAAGAGCAGACATTTAGATATCCCTCATAGCTTATCTGTGCTTCTGTTAATAAGTCAGAATGCCTACTTAATTTACAGACCAAAACCCAAAAGCAATCACATAGAACACAAGTAATTTTAAAACTTCACTTTTAGGATATTTTGGAAAAAAAAAATTTCAGATTGAAACTTTTTTTTTTTTTTACAAATAGGAGAAAAGAAAAGGATAGAGCATTTTCTAGAAAGTGCATTCAACTCATCTACCTGCTGCTGCTAAATAATAATCCATAGTAATGTAAGCTTTCACCTAACCACTCTGTCAAATATCTTTTCTGCCTCTTTTCATGATTATTTTTGAACAAAGTTAAGAACCTAACACGAAGTATGGAAAAGCTCTCAACATTTGCTTAGGAAGGAGTGCTTTACTAGTGGGCTTGTCTGAAGTTGGCAGTACTCTGTTGCATTGTGTAATATTTGAATTCTGGGGCTTTATAACCACTGTTCAGGTAAATATCAATGTAGTGACAGGCAAAAGATACAAAGAGGTGAATTGAATTATATTTAATCACAGCTGTGTCTACTACTCAGTCTCCTGGAGTGGACTCCTGGAGTGGCAAAGCAATTATCATTACAACAGTGATCTTTGTATGTGTATAGTAGGCATGCTTCAATCCAGGCTTGAAAAATATGTGGTTCCAGTAACTGTCTTTATAGGCACAAAATCTTTTTGAAGCCATTTACTTGTCCATAATCAAAATATCAGATATTTTTCTCTCCTCACGCTTTTCTTTCCCAATTTCCTGTTAATAGAAGATTCTAGGAAGCTGCTCTATCAAGGCTGATGAATGCACATTCCTGGAGGGTCAAGGTGTGTATTCCTGGCTGGACTGCTTTGAGACGCAGCTGCTTCCTAACTGGACAGTGCAAAGTCAGCTGTCTGCTGTTATGCTTCCAATGTACATGAGTTGGTCTAGTCTGGTTATTGTGTTTGGAGCAGGTTAGAGACCTGCATCAGGTGCTGCCAGAAATGTGGGATCAATAACCTTCAGTTGTTTGATGATGATAAACAGCTGGAGCTATAACACCACTTACCTCACAGCTCTAGTCAGGCAGTGTATAAAAGGCTGCTGAGCATGAGCAAGAGTGGTACATAAGCTCAGCATAGATTTAGCTGAACTGTATAGAGCTAGCTTTGTCTACCTGAGTCTTAGCTTTTTCTGCTTGTTGGTAGTATTTGTTCTTTTGTACCTTTCCTAATGCTGTGAGGTCTTGTTTACTTGCAGTATTAAACTGTTAGAAATGAACATGCTGGCAATGTATATTTCTGTGCTGGATTGCATTATGAAATGCATTTTTTCTATGGTTAATTTTCACACATTCACTCAATACAGAATTGCATTTCATACAATTTATGCAGTATTGAAATAAGTTATCAAGAGGAGATAATTTTGTATGTGCTATGCCTTCATTCCAGACTCTCTTCTTAAAGGGAAACACCAGAAATGTCTATGAAAGTAAGTTAAAAAGTCCTTCCTGGGAGAAATAAGGTTTCTTGTGTGTTCATTTACTGTGGTATTTGAAGAATAGGGGAGATAACATCTAACATCTTTTCAAACACTGCTCTGTACAAAACACTTCCACTCCAGCTGCTTCTCACATCCTATATAAACTCTGTTTAAATCTTAAGGAGGGTTTCTAGTCTGCATTGCAGTTCTTGAGTTAGAAACGGGCAACTCATTCCACAGTGTGTGAAAACAACCATTATTTCAAATGGTTGATGGTCCTTTGCATGCAGTTAAAGAAACCAGATAAAAATACAAAGGTAAAACAAGAGCAAAGCATCACTCAAGGCCCGTAAGAGAAGTGACGCCTTATTTGAAGAGCAGCTTTCTGGTTCTGTTTGTATAAGTAAATGACAAGCATGAATGACTTCATTTGAAGATGTTCTCTGTTCTTACTTCACCTGTGCTACTGTTTTCAGGTACTTACAGAAGCTTTTGTTCCTGAACAATTGTGAAAATTTATTGTCAGAGTCATTTTAGCAATGATCTTCATAAAATAATTTAATTTATATTCCTTCCCCCACCAATATTTTTTTATATCTTACATCCTTTTAGGAACAAATTGAAGGATAACAAAGTCATAATGTCGCCACTAAAATCATTCAACATTTACAAAGAGATCCTCTAGTATATGAGAGATAACTCATTCGCTTTGTCTTGTAAATATAAGGAATAGCAGTGATAGCTCTAAGTGCAATGTACATCTATGGTATCAATAAATTGGTTAGCTTCATCTGTGTACGTTATATACATCTGCAGAAGTAGTGCATGACAAAGTGTGCAATAATGAATACTGTACAATGGTGGACAACACGACACAGCATAAATGTAAAGGATAATGACATTACTCTAAAATAGCAAAGCCCCAAGCAATTCTAGTAAACCTATGAGAAGATGTAAGATGACTGCATTGTTTCACAGGGTAATAATCTGTGTATCCATGTAGTTTCCATAATGATAGATGGATATAAACTATTATATGAGCAGTTGAAGAAGAAATTACCTGTTTATACTGAATAATTTCCATATGAATGGTTCAGGGTTGTGGGGTTTGTTGCTTTGCTTTTCAGAGATCTGCAGTTTCTTTCTGCCACTGGCTTTTTATCACAAACTTGCAGCCACACAACCTGATCTCATCAGATCAAACAAGTTTTTGTTTTATTCTATGATTCTAAGTTAAACATAGTCATATCTGGTCAATACTTAGATGAGTGATTTCCAAGGTAATTCAAGAATGCATTAGGAGACTGCTCCATATCAGTATTCCTCTCTTGCCAGAGTTGAAGAATTCATCTCCCATGCTGTTGGGGAGTTCACCTGATATATGGTTCTTCATCCTCATCCTAAATTATCCTTTACCATTGCCATGCTGTTAAACACCTCCACATTCCCCCACAAGTGGCTCCATTTGTCAGTGTATATAGTCTACCAAGAACCTTTTGAGATGAAAGGTGCTACATAAGCAATGGTGCCAGCTAAGATGCTATATTTTATGTTAGCTTTCCTCAGCTCTGATTTTAATATATCCAAACAGAATGTTAATTTTCTAAACACCACTGAGATCAGCCTTTGACTGGACAGTACAGAGCACTGTTTCTTTGTCAAAAGTTCTTACAAAAAATCATGCACACAGCTGTCAGAAGGGCAAGATAAACCAGCATTTCTGTTATCACCCTCTGTGAGATAAGCCAGAATGATCATTACTGTTTTTATATTCCTTTGTAAACTGTGATTTAATTGGCTTCTTTGACTTAACTAAGAGCTGGACCTGAACATTACATCTTGAAGTTTCCATTTGCTTTTACTCTAAGCCAACTGACATAATGTTTCTTGATATGACTGAACATGTAAGGTGAAATCTCACACTGTGCAGACTTCTGTTTCTTCTCAGTTTTGTGTAACAGCTACAGTTCTACCTCTCTTGGAGAAAATGCATGGGAAATTCATATGTGAGGAATGAATATTGTAATAGTTAAGAGCTATGATAAAGAATACCAACTCACTTGTGATCATCAGTGCAAAATGAAACAAGAGGTTATCAAACCTATTGCTAGAGGAAAATACAGATTAAATACAAATAAAAGGTGTGAGTAGGCTTGTATATTGAGAAAGAGAGAGCCCAGCAAGCTGAGTCTTTACTGTTTAAAGACAAATATTAAGGCTGATTTTCAAAGACGAAAAAGTCACGCTTTTTAGCTGTATTTTTTCCTGAATAAATAGCAAAACCATAGAACAATTTCCTTAATTGAATGCACAGAATGAGACATGAAACAACAACAAAAAAGAAACCACCATTAGTGTAATCACAGTGGATTTTCATGCTCTAAGACAATCATCATCCACCGCTTGGAAAAGGAAAATTGTGTATACACACAGAAATTATGTATATAATAGAGAAACGTCTGAGCCACAAAGCTAGAATCTAGATGTGTCTTTTCTGTAGATTTAGGGGGGGTCCTGTATTAGGAAGCCTTATCTCCAGAAGGTACTTCATCCTCTATAGCAGATAATATACCATTCTCACAGAGAATTTCAAATCTAGCAGAAGTGATTCCAATGACTTCAGTAAAGTTCTGCCTGACCACACCAAAAGTGAGTTATAATCACTGCTATTAATATGGGGATTCAGTCTGTGTCAAAATGTGGATGCAAGTGCTCTGAGAACTCCCAGTGAAAATAGCTTTTTTAGAGAAAATGATAAAATGAAATCAGATATCAATCGTTCATAAATCTCTTGTATTTATAGGTAAAACTGGTTAGGAAATCTGGTTGCATGTTAGAAGGATGTACACTCATAGAAGGAACGAAGAAATGAAATCTCTTTGCGGATTATTTTCTTTCTGCTTTTTTTTCCTTTCTGTTTCAGAAAATGATATATATTCAAACATCTAAAGCATAGACAAGTTTGTCTATGACTTTTAAATTTGGATTTAGCTAAGGAAGTCCAATTTATACAAGCTTGGAGAGGTTTTGTTAATGCCAAGCATACCTGAATATGCCTGCCTTTGTACCTTTGAAGGATTTCACATTGCCCAATACAATGTTCGTCATGGTTTTAATTTTTCTTCAAAATGGATCTCTTTTATGTCTGCTATTTACCACCCTTGCCAGAGTCATTGAGCACAAGATATTCAGTATCTACAAGATGCAGAAACTGCTTTCTTCTTCATACTCATGTAACAGGTAATGGATGGTTTTAAGAAAGGATCTTTACTTTGTGCTTTACCTATTCACGTGTAGGATTTTGATTTCATTTGAAATGAAAGGCGTAAACCGCAGGTCTGAAAACTAATAGAATTTCTGCATTTACCTGCTGATCCATAGCC